GAGCTGTAGCTCAGATCGGATTTACTGTAATGGCTGCTACGAGAAGCTCCTTCGGAACTTCTGAAACTTCCAGTGTGCGAACTTTGTCGTCGGAAAGGGCTTCTGTCAAAGTCATGAGATCGGTAACTGCGTGGAGAGCCGCCACTTGCACTGGCTCTCAGATCTCTTTCAGATTCCTCTTCGCGACTGTATCTGGTTGATGGATAGCGCGAGTTCTTCACTGTGTGCTCGGACGTTCATGTCTGTTGGCCCCACAATGGTGGAGTGACGTTTTCCTGATGGAGATCGTAAGGATCCGTCAGTGTCGTCAAAGGACGATGAGATACCCGTTGCGAAATTGGACACATTGCGTGAGCCGGTGCGCTGGAAGTAAAGTTGTTATCGATGCGGTTGGCTTGGGGTGGACATGACATGAGCTAGAGAGAAGCACTTCCCGAGGCACCCAGTTCCACGTCCCTATCATCCCTCAGATATGGACTGCAGCTTCATCGGTTTATATGCACTACAGGGAAACTCGTTCAACACGTCCCACTTTTTGGACTTTAACATCTATCTTCTTTACTATAACCCCTCAATATTCGAAACCCGCAGATTAGTAATTGTGTAACTTACTGGAGAACTCAAAGTAGTGGAGTTGTAGGAGTGTGGTGGCGAGACTGATTGCGGTGATCGTCCAGCTAAAGATCGTTTCGGAGTTGTCTGAAAGCCAATAAGAAAATGGTGACTCATCTGAATGTTACTCTGAATCGCTACGGTACAGCCAATTGATAACGTTTCGAGGGGAGATTCCTTATTTCTAACACAACACGTAAAGAGTTGTGCTTATTGATTGCATACGCGTAAAATCGATACCTATCCTGAAGCACACGCTCTGGTGGGGCGAGACGAAGCAGATTTATGTACAGCAAGCAGAGGCTACTGAATAGTGAGTGCATTTTTGGTGCCATGAGTGTTCCCTACGCCATATCCAAGCATTCATTGCAGCACCTAGGGGTACGGAATTTGGGTGCGCAAAGAAAAATACTCACTCAACGCCAACTTCTAGTGCTCCCAATCTCATGCGGTACTACCGTTTATCTCTCACTGCTCGCGGCATTGCCATATAAGGGAAGCGCGTTTCATAGGAAAGCTCAGTATGCAAAACTCACTAGTAAAGATTTTCGAGAAAGTGAGTTAAGGTCGTTAGTATTATTGCACAGAAGCTTTTGCCGCGGCAATCTTCCTGAACCTGAAATTCTGTCTGCGGCTCAAGGTTGAAGGGTTGCGCCTGCAAGCGTTAAAATTTTCGCACTTAGGGTCCGAGAGTCTCTAGTGAATGCGCTGAAGAGGTAGAATCCGCAACAAAATACCCACTCGCTTTGCTGGCTCCTTAGGAGTCAAGAGGAACTCACCCGGTCGCCACGCTGCGAAACGGATCCAACGAAGAGTCGCGAACTCGTTGAAGGCTCACGGCATTCAATCCCGCCACCCTCCACATAAGGTTAGTAGAAAATGAGGTTACCACATGGTTTCTGCAGCAAAATGATTTAGGAGTGATTTGATATTAATGATAAGGAGGTGAGAAAAACAGCAGGATAACCCTAAGAGTGGTAAGCGATGGCTCCCAAGGACAGTTTCTGATGGAGTAGCCGCCCCCAGGTACTATGTCTCATGCAGAAAAAAATCACTGGAGATTTGGGAGTTGCTGAAGAATTCCACTTCTCCAAACCATTGCAGCGATCATGCTCAGCTATGGAACGCACTGGTACGATTTTGCACTCGACGACATCTCAAAGGCGAACAGTCCCACGATAATCATATGGGTGGAACCATATCTGCCACAGCTATCTGAGGATCTTCCTCCCATAACGGTGAACAAGGGGATGCGCCAATGAGGGAGACACCTGGTTGGTGCAACCAAGCGCATCCGGCGGAGTCCATATCTGAGATCAACAAGGGGCGGCGAGAATCCAAACAAAAGAAAGGGCAAACAGGGTAACAGGGGAGGGTCAGTACGAGATTGTGTGACTATTTTCGAGGCACATCTTGTGTAATAGAACTTGACCTGGACGATAGCAAAATCTTGAAGGAAACGGCTTTCTCAGCAATGTTGAGTTTTGGTATTTTCAGGTATGTGGCATTAAAGCCGGCGGTAGTACAGCGGCAGAAGGCGCGCTTGCCACACGCACGGTCCGGGGATCAAATTCTGGATAGGCTCTCGTCCAGGGCAGCTACTTTGCACCCGCCGGAGACTCTTCATATTCTTGCGCTATGGACGGGTTAATGAGAAAAACACGATGGTTATGTGTCCCGCCCTTCGTTTATCACCTTTTCAGCGTGGAGGGTGTCATGTTGAGGAATTCAGAAATGATTCAACTGCGTTTCGATTGAAGTTAGCAGCCTGACAAGTTGACATTTTTCTTTCCACGCACTTCGACAACACTTGAGTGTTCCTGCTGGTAATGATGCAAGGAAAATAAGGCCCTTAGTCTGATAAGCGGGAAAGACACTGACTTTT